GGGGTGGGGGCTGGGTGGAAGGGGAAAAAGTGGAGGGAGAATGGGGGATAGGGCACAGAAAGGACACTAGTTTATGGTGTGACAGCAGAAACCAGAGGCAGGGTGTTGCCTGGTTTGACCTCAGCTGTAAATGAGCACAATAGGTGACAAAATTATCACTACTCTGTGAATGTCCATGAATGACCATGAAAACACTGCAAGTGTTGATTTGGAGACTGAAAATAAATTTAGGGGGAAGGCAAATTCACAAATACAGACCTACAAATAACATGAACAGATTGAACACACACACATACACACACCCCTAAGGTGTCTAGACACAGTGCCTGAATATTACTATATGAAACAACTGGAAATAATTCAAGATAAAATAGGTTAAGTATGAGTATTTAGATTATATAAAACACAAGAGCCACCTTACATTATTTGGAGAAAAGGCGATCAATGCAGGCTGCTAGCTGTGATGTCAGGGACACGGAGCCTGACCAGGCTGTGACAGAGGGGTACAACTTGACTAGTTAGAGAGGCAGAGCGTGGGACTTTGGGTTACAGAGAAAATTGAAACAAAGGCTCCCAGTCAGGAGTAAGTTCTGTCCTTGTTGGTTTATGAGGAGACCAGCTAGGTTATAATACAGAATAACATTTGAGACAGTAGTTGAACAAGACTGAAGGGTAAAAGAGACAAAGGGTTCTTGGACCTGAGAAAGAAGAAGTCAGACATGATTCATTCATTCATTTGTTCATCCTACAAATGTTTATTGAGCTCCAATTACTGGCCATTCACTGTTCTAGATGCTGGAGAAGTGGTCAAGTTCCATGAACGTATATTTGAACGGTGGGAAACGTGACAATCCTCAAAAGAAATAAGTAAGTTACATAGCAAGAACTAGTGGTAAATGCTATGAGGAACATCAATCATCAGGATGTGACCGGCAGTGGTATGTTTAGGACAATATTAGAGATGGGACTTCAGGGTGAGGCTGTCTGAGGAGGTGACAATCTGGACTGGGAAAAACTGGTAAGAAGGAAGCAGCCATGTGGTCTGGGGGGAAAGCATTCCAGAGAGGAGGCGCAGCCAGCAAGCTCCCAGTGGCCGGGCTATAAACCAACCTCGCTGGCCAGCTGAAAGGAGTCCCTAGGATGGACTTACAGTGACTAAAGCGCATGAATAGGAGAACATGCGATCAGCAAGAGAGCTGGACCATGGAGGGTCTTGCAAGGAGTAGAAAGCAGTATGGATTTTATTCTAAGTGCAGTAAAGAAGGCTCGGAGGGAATGGGGGAGTGATAGACTGATTTAAATTTCAGAAACATCGTCCTGGCTGCTGCAGTGGAGTGTGAGCTGTGCTGGAAAGGAGCTGGGAGATCAGCTGGGAGGCCTTTTTATAGGAAGGGATAAAAATTAGAAATACTTGGAAAGTTTTAGATAAGGACTTGCCAAAAGTAGTTTCCATACTGGATTGGTAGGTCAGAAGCCCTGGATTCAAAGCCCTGCTTTTACACGTTTGCACTTTGCTGGGCGAATCACTGGACCTTTTTGCGTTTTAGCCTTCAGTTTCACCGCGATGTAAAACGCAAGGGCTGGACTCACTGTCCCTTTCGGTGCTAAAGTTCTAAGATTTCAAATCCTCAAGGCAATTTGCAGGAAGGAAATGCTGTCGATCCACTCAACAGTAACGGGGTGACATGAGAAGAGAATGGGGGCCTCTCTGCTCTGTAATAAGAAGGCTGTTAGTGGGAACTCGAGAGAGGTTTGGCTAAAGTGGAATGATGGCACCCAAATCGGCAGTGGTTAAGCAAAAAGTGAAGAGAGAAAAT